TGTCTGACCATCTTCTAGGCCATTAGCGACTCAAGGAACCCTGATCAGCGCGCAGGGCCCTCTGGCTGGCACTGGAGTGCCCGCTCCTGCGGGCCGGGGCCCCTGAATGAGAGCTCCGGTCGACCTTTTGGGTCCTTCGGGCCCTCAATTCGCGTCCTTAATTGTAGCCCTCGAAGGGCCCGGAGGGACCCTCGGACCTAAGGGGGTGGCACTTTCCCCTGCGCCCCCTTTGCCTGCGCTACTGGGTGAGAATGTGCGGATAGGCGTTCCATGGCGATGATGGTTTTTAAGAAAGAAACATGAAAAGTAGGGGCCATAGCACTTCTGGTTTTAGGACAGTTCCTCCACAAGTAGACGGACTGAAGGGCGAATCAGCGCCTTCATACCTGATATTTTTAAGTGTATGCCTGATGCTCGTCATCTAACGTTCTCATTTGCTTCTCAACAACGGTGGTGTCCGTCGAGATATAGCTTTGGGGACTCGTGAGCGGTCGCACTCAATTCGTTGCCTCCGGTGGCCATAACCCGCAAATTTCATTGTAGAGCTTATATGCTTTTGCATTACGCAATGACATGATCCACAGCTGAGAAGCTTTGTGTCTTGGGTTCCACATTTTGAAACGCCTTGTTTTTTAATTGAGCATCGCTTTTAATCTGAGAAAGACTAGCAGACTTTTCAGCTTACGTATAGGGAGGCTGCGGGCCCACAAGTTGCAGCTCTAATGCGAATACTGTTGGCTACGCCCGTGACTGTAACCACTGTAGGGAGTTGAGCGGCAATTCCTCAACCTTTGCCAACATGTGTTTTTGCCTTTTCCATTATGTGCGTAGGATGCGCGTAGCTCGCATTTCCCGCCTTAAGTCAGCTCGCTCCCCCGAATCACCGAATTCTAGTTTGCAGTCACTGACCTATGCTATGTGAGTACACACCACCATCCGCCGGGGAAAAGCCACATCACGTGCGTGCTGTTCTTGCGCGAGGATTCCTTAGCCACGGATGCTGAGTGCTTCGAGTAGCTAGTAAGGCCAAAACTAGAAAGTGGACACCAGGAGAAAGTGCTCGTGAAAGAAAAGAAAGTCCCCCGAAAATTAGTACCTTCACGGAGCTGCATGAGATGTCGGCAATACATGACAGATGAAAGTCAGCCCTTCCCCTTAAAACGCCGGGTTACGTTGAACGCTCGCGGCAGATATAGGTACGTAACTTGTTTCAGAAAATTTTGCACCTTTGTCCTACATACAAAAGTGGATCAAGTCGGTTGCGCTCAAGGAGGAGCTAGTGAATGCCCGGTAGATCAGTGCATACCTGAGGTAGGTAATTTCCAGAACTTTCATATCCGAGTAGACAATTCGGAAATACGTACTGAAGCAGGCGTCCCACCTGCTTTACACCAATAAGTTCTGGCGCTGATCCACAAACATGCAACACAGCAGTGATACAGCCATACGATCAGTTCGCAGTGGGCGGTGCGGGCGGCGCCCGTCGCCGACGGACGGGCAGTCCAGGTGGTGGCCGCCGACGGCGGGCAGTCCAGGTGGTGACCGCCGACGGACAGGCAGTCCAGGTGGTGGCCGCCGACGGCGGGCAGTCCAGGTGGTGGCCGCCGACGGCGGGCAGTCCAGGTGGTGACCGCCGACGGCGGGCAGTCCTGGTGGTGACCGCCGACGGACGGGCAGTCCAGGTGGTGGCCGCCGACGGCGGGCAGTCCAGGTGGTGACCGCCGACGGACAGGCAGTCCAGGTGGTGGCCGCCGACGGCGGGCGGCAGTAGGGCTCAGACAAGTAATATCCAAAAGAAGGGCCTAAATTTTGCAACTTTTATTTTACAGTGGACACTTTGGCGTCAGGCCTTTTTCACTTTGTTTTCGGCAAGCCGTATTTGGAGCTTCCAAATTTACTTTTGCATAAGGTGCTGTGAGAACACCTCATCTCTTGAAAACTAGTCGACAAAATCGAGGCTTATCAAAACTGTGAGATTTTGGGACGGATTCGAAAACAAAATTGTTGTTTGCATATATTGCATAACAACAGATTATGTACTTTCCTTAAAAAGGTGTTATGGTGGCTTAACAGCGGCCTAAGTTCTCCATTCCCCTCCTCTTGCCCACCTCCACTCCGATCCCCGGTTGCCGAACTTACCTCTCAGGAGGCGCTCCTCCGAGGAGACGCTCCTAGCTAGGCCCAGAGTCACGCCTCGACTTTTTGAAGCATTCCTACGCATTTGGAAATGTGTGCAAAACGTAATGCACAAGCATAACGTGTAGCAAATTCAGCAACCAACGGAAATGACACGCGACATGGGTGACGCGTAAAATCATCTTCAGCAACAGCGCGTGCAGATTCCCCGAGCCATGACCGACTGCCGCTCTCAGGCTAGGGTGCCAAGGGGAATCTCAGGCTAGGGTGCCAAGGGGAATCGCCATCGTGTGTGTCTCGGATTGTGTACGTCGGCTAGGGTGCCAAGGGGAATCGCCATCGTGTGTGTCTCGGATTGTGCACGTCAATTAATTGAGAGAGGGCAGGCGGGCAAATGTAGCCGTGCACACACGCAGGCCAAACGTCCTGGCGCTCGCTCGGCTACAGAGCTTCTGAACCTTTCTGACTTCATCGGAAAAGCCACGACCAGCGTGGAATGCTCCGGATCGATCAAGACTGCCCCGGATCGATCAAGACTGCCCGCACTGATCAGTATTTAGGTCCGCGTGAACAGCGTGGGCACTCCGATGAAATAGAAAAACCCACAACCAATAGGGACGGCACCTGAGCGATCGAGGGCGCTGCGGCAGGCCAACAAAGGGCTCTCATCAATAGTGTAGGGTACTCAGAGCAAGTGAGAAGGACCGAAGACCAACATGGTGGGGCCCCTGAACGATCGGGAATGACCCAGTCAGCCAGAGCGCAGGGCCCTCCGAGCAAACGGGAAGAACCCAAGACCAGTGCGCACTAACTAATGTCCTTGGCCCTGCGAGAGTGCCTTGGAAGTCGAACGTGCAGGGCCAATAGGGGCGATAACTTGCCGTCCTCCGAACAGATATGAACTGTTCAAACCCATCATGGCGGGACTTTGTGCGATCAAGAGTGCCCGAGCAGTTAAGAGACAGGAGACAGGGCCCCGACGAGATTGAAGGGTCCTCTGCTGATGAGATCGAGGTGGAGGGCCCCTGAGCATCGACCGCCTCAACGCGTGAACTGGCATGGCTTCCAGCAACAGCGCAGGGTCTTCCGAATAAGTGGAAAGAACCCGAGACCAAAGTGAAGGGACCCTGAGCAGCCGGTTGCATCCAAGCAGGTTAACATTTAGGACTCCAGCAATAGCGTAAAGCTTGTCGGGCTAATGTGAAGAAACCCTGGAGAGCCCCCGATTGATCGGGAGTACCCCGGCACGCTAGCAGATAGGACCTCAACAGCAGCATAGGGCCCTCCGAGCAAAGGCAAAGACAAGAGCAACGTGAAAGGCCTCTTAGCGATCGGATTGACCCAGAAGTCGACATATAGGCTCCGGCAACAGCGCAGGGTCTCTGGACAAAGGAATGAGCCTAAAAATCTCTCCAATCACGAACCTCTCAATCATCGTATAATTATTTATGTCGCTCACGGTTCCTTTGCCTTCCCTCGCGACTGTCTTGGTTGCATAGTGGCTCAAAGAAATTCAATTTTGCTGTGTTTTGTGTTAATGAGCTACGCCCGTGCGGCCGGCTATGGGCTCCTTCGGAGACTATGGCCCAAGAGGAGGGGCATGGCCCCGTGGCCCGCTCGAGATGCGCTTCTGCCAAAGAGGGGCCCGGAAAGCCTCTCTGGACCAAATATCAAGGGTTCGATTGCAGGGCTGAAGGGTGTGTAGGGCCCAAAGGACTGGTTATAGGTCACATTAAGGATCCCGGCTGGTAGAATCGTGGCCTCAATTGTCTGTCAGCGAACATCTTGCACCCATTGAGAGCACCTGGAACAATGGGGCCTCTTTTTTGACCACAGACCACTAACACCCAATAGTTGGTCCCGTGCCAATCAGAGCCGGAGAGGGGGGGGGGGGCACCCCTCAAGCCGGAGCAAGGCAGGGGCACGCGATTTGCATTGATCGAGGTCCCTGAAACATTGGAGGCTCCCCTTGTCGGTCATGGACCGCAGTGCCTAACAGGGGCTCTGTCTCTGCATCTGCCAACCCCTAGAGCCCGAAGAACCCTAGGGCTGGCTATAGGTCACATTAAAGACCTATGCCCGTAGGCCCGTAGTCTCAAATGTCATTCGCGATGCCTCTTACACGGATCGGAGACGTCTGAGACAATGTGGGCCCTATTTTGGCCAGAGACCACCAACACCACATAGTCAGCTTTGTGTCGGACTAAGCCCTGGCGAATCACTTTTCAGAGCGAGAGGAAAAAATGCCCCAAGGACACTAAACGCACTGCACTAAAAAGCTAAAGAATACGGGCAAAAACGCAAAGAACGGCATATTGTCAAAATGGAAACAACTTTTTTCCCAAATAGCAACAGCATTCTCCTCGATTTAGGTTCACCTAGGGTTGGCCAAAACCCGGGCCAAAACAAGACACAGGGATACGGCGGTTTGATCGAGCAAGGACGGCGACCTCCTCGCTCCCTTTCAAGTCGCTGTCTTGTGCAAATGCTGGACAATGTTTGCGAATGTTCTTGCGAAAGCTGTCGAAAACAGCCCCTTTCAATATTAAGCCTTTCAATTCTACTCATGCTAATGGCAGTGGGCGTGGCCGGTGTTGCGTCAGGCGCAGCTGTTGCTGTTCGCTGTGAGCTGTTGCTTTTTGCGGAGAGCTACGTCCCACACCTACGCTGAGATCACGCGGTGCATGCTACTTTGTTGTGCCATTAGCGAAGCTTTATCCCTTGCGGTTTTGTGTTGACCGACAGAGTCTTCCTCCATCCACTATCCATTACATCATCGCAACGATTTTCGCTGCGTTGTCATGCCAACATGACGTCACGCAAGGGCAGTCGATACTGGGATTATTGAATGCACGGTTGGTGACGCCAGAGCGGCGGACGGTGCTATCTGGCGAGCCTGAAGGTCGGCTGTACTGGCAGGTCTGGAGGTTCACAGGTGAGGCGCCCAGCTGAAGCTGCCAGGCCTCGGCTGCAGGCCTGCCCGCTCGGTGCCCCCTCCATGGGGGCAACAAGTCCTCAGCGACAGGCAGCGGTGCTCGTGAGATTTGGCCAGTGCGCCGCCTGTGGATCTTTGATTAGAAGACCCGCACCCCGTACCTGGTGTGTGTGTGTGTGTGTGTGTGTGTGTGTGTGTGTGTGTGTGTGTGTGTGTGTGTGTGTGTGTGTGTGTGTGTGTGCGTGTGTGTGCGTATGTGTGTGTGTGGGTGGGTTGGTGGGTGTGTGGGTGTGTGGGGGTGTGGGTGGGTGGGTGTGGGTGTGGGTGTGGGTGTGGGTGTGGGTGTGGGACGACTGTTGTAACACATGCACGAGTGTGGGTGTGTTAGAATGGTGTGGACGTAATATTAAGGTGGCATTAACCATTGCCAAAGTGTTTGCGCTGAGGGTTCATTCGTCTCGCGCCAAGCCGAAGACCTATCAAATAGGCCACAGGGCGAAGTTAGCGTACTCGTTATTTTAACACTTTCATCATCAGCGGATAGCATGTGCGTACTTGTGTAAAAATTGCTACAATAGTCATGGCGCCGTCCCATCACTACCCAGATGTAATCAAAGGTCTGCCAGCACGAACACGCAACAAGTTACTCCGCACTCATAAGCTGGGCCTCATAAGAACCAATGGAGATGAATACAAGATTGCTCCAAGACATGCACATTTTTAGATACTTTATCGGTTGCGGTATATCGTAATTCTGGTCAAATATTCGAGGTGTAGAAACAAATATTGGGAGACCACGCCCTTCCAGAGAGATATCTATAAAGCTCCCCCATAGACAGCCAAGCGCATAAGTGCAACCATACTTAAGTTTTGTAACTACGTCTAGCTGCTCGGAGCGAAGTACCTTGCTTCCCAGATGCGTTTTGACGTGTTGAACAGACTATGCCTCGCACTGTGAACAATTTCGATTGTGTAATTTTCTTTTAGCGCATTTGCTGTTTTCTAATGCATGTTACGTCGCGTTATTGATGCCGGTTCATGTGGGTTGTACACATGCTCTGCCATCAGACAAGTTCATTTTGCATTGCTTGTTATTTCATTTCTTTCCTCCTAGGTTTTTTTACAGAATCGTTCTCATTCGACAGAATGTGCCTTCCAAAAGCTCATGAAAAGATATGGAGTAACATATCGATATTCGAGGCTGCGTAGAGTATAGAGCTACATGGACCGAACGTTTGTCTTCCTGGTCTGACCTTTTGACAGCAAGCATCGGTGCCAATCGGTAGGTTGTCTTTATAAAACAATTGATAAGCACGCACTCAGAAACAGCGAAATAAGTGAGCAGTAGGTACACGGAGCTCGTGAAGCTACTGCTTTTGTTCAGGGCTGAGTCCTAGTTGGCTTAGGAGCCGACACAAGTCGTTGAGCGGCACGCAAAACAAAATTGGAATCCCTTGCTGGGGGTACGACAGACCGGCCTGGAGGGCTGACAGACCGGGCTGGGGTTCAACAGACCTACCGTGGGTCTAAAAGAGCGGGATGGGGGTCTGACAGAGTGGGTTGGAGAACTTCTTTTTGTCTTGATGGCCTCGCTTTTCCAATGACAGCTATTTTTACAGGCCAATGGTAGCTGGGATCCACGCCTGGCAGCCGCCGCCGTCGGCAATTTGGCGTCGCTGTGGCGCCGACGGGGCTGTTCAAACGGCCGCTCCTTCCCACAGGAGTAGGCCAGCTCCGATGGCCGCTGGTGCGGCGGTGCTGGCGCCAGCTGACCGGCCGGCCGTCGCTGTGGCGGTGAGCCACCGCTGCCCGCCGCCTCTCGCCACTGCCCCAGGCCGCTGAGCCTCAGAGCGGCGCACCATACCAGCACTATCTGGGCCTCAGAGCAGCGCACCACACCATCGCTGTCTGGGCCTCAGAGCGGCGCACCACACCATCGCTGTCTGGGCCTCAGAGCGGCGCTCCACACCAGCGCTATCTGGGCCTCAGAGCGACACACCACACCATCGTTGTCTGGGCCTCAGAGCGGCGCTCCACACCGGCGCTGTCTGGGCCTAAGAGCGGCGCACCACACCAGCGCTGTCTGGGCCTAAGAGCGGCTCACCACACCAGCGCTGTCTGGGCCTCAGAGCGGCGCACCAAACAAGCGCTGTCTGGGCCTCAGAGCGGTGCACTACACCAGCGCTGTCTGGGCCTCAGAGCGGCGCACCACACCATCGTTGTCTGGGCCTCAGAGCGGCGCACCAAACAAGCGCTGTCTGGGCCTCAGAGCGGTGCACTACACCAGCGCTGTCTGGGCCTCAGAGCGGCGCACTACACCAGCGCTGTCTGGGCCTCAGAGCGGCGCACCACACCAGCGCTGTCTGAGCGGCGCTCAGACATGTGGCCAGCCGGTGGAGAGCAGCCGTCCCTGGTCCCAGTCGGCGCCTGCTCGCCTCTTCTGCCGGTCAGCGCTGCACACTCAGTAGTGAGTCGATGACGGGGGCGAAATGACCAATCAGCTAGTACGGGTCAGATGACTTAAAGACATGCATTGTGCGTGCAATCCACGCAGTTTTTGTAGCACATTAGAATGATTGTGCTAGCTTGGGTCCTGGAACATCATCCTTATTAACTCTGAAGGAATAGCAACATGTATCTCATGATTCCAACCTTGCATAACTTTGAACTCGACATAGGCTAGGTGCATAGTTAAGTGATTTGATAGGATATCAGGAATAGCGCTGGCAGGTATGTCAACACTTCCTTACCACTCATGCTATTAAAAGAGATTTGTGCTGATTCCATCGCTCTTGTTTTATATGCACTGCATTTCTAACTAAGACTTTCTAGTTTGGTCAAGTTTGTGAATGTTTCAAAGAATTTATCCTACATTTTCAGCCAACGAATCAACGGGATACTCGAACGCATGCAAAGCTGAAGTATCCAGAGACGTGGGCTGAGCCCGTGCGTCCCTGCTGAGCGGAGGCGCAAGCACCAGAGCCGGCCGGGCCGGTCCTCTTCGCTGTAGGTGGACGATGCCCGAGCGCAGTGACGACTATCGGGTGGTGGTGTTCGGAGCCGGCGCCGTCGGCAAGTCCTCCCTGGTGCTCCGCTTCGTCAGGGGTACATTCCAGGACAGCTACGTACCCACCATCGAGGACACGTACCGCCAGGTGGGTTCAGTACCCACCATCGAGGACACGTACCGCCAGGTGGGTCCATTACCCACCATTGAGGACACGTACCGCCAGGTGGGTTCAGTACCCACCATCGAGGAAACATACCTGACTGACCAGGTGGGTTCAGTACCCACCATCGAGGACACATACCTGACTGACCAGGTGGGTCCGGTACCCACCATCGAGGACACGTACCTGACTGACCAGGTGGGTCCAGTACCCACCATCGAGGACACGTACCTGACTGACCAGGTGGGTCCAGTATCCACCATCGAGGACACATACCTGACTGACCAGGTGGGTCCAGTACCCATCATCAAGGACACATACCTGACTGACCAGGTGGGTCCAGTACCCACCATCGAGGACACGTACCTGACTGACCAGGTGGGTCCAGTACCCACCATCGAGGACACGTACCGCCAGGTGGGTCCATTACCCACCATTGAGGACACGTACCGCCAGGTGGGTTCAGTACCCACCATCGAGGACACATACCGCCAGGTGGGTTCAGTACCCGCCATCGAGGACACATACCTGACTGACCAGGTGGGTCCAGTACCCACCATCGAGGACACATACCTGACTGACCAGGTGGGTCCAGTACCCACCATCGAGGACACGTACCTGACTGACCAGGTGGGTCCATTACACGCCACCCAGCCACAGAGGCAAGTCGTTGCGAATACGATCGGCGAAGGCAACTGCGACAACCCACCGAACCCACGAATAAATGCATTCATATTTGCTGCCTGCATGCCTCTGCTGCCGTCGCCCTGATACATGTTCACGGCGTAAAATGGCTGCAAGATGAATATGAGTGAAGGACTTCAGGAAATCGTGGCGCATTTAGGTTCTTGAGCACGCTGAGCTCTAATGTGACGACTCCATAGCTATTACCCGCATCCCTCTGTGGTTGCCGTTCGCACAAAACCGTACGGCGCGATATGGTCCGCATATTTCAAAACGTATCAAGAACCATGTCAGAGTGGTCACGTTTCTCAACCTACTGCGGACAGAGTCGTGGTGCCTTTGTGGACAAGCTACTCAAGAGAAACGCTTGCAGCTCTATGTGGTTGTGAAATCGTGAAATGAACATGGTGTCCAGTACCTATGGAAATGCTAAGACATTTTAAACTGTTGAATGAGTATTCAGTGCATGACTTTGTACGAGTGAGCTGATCTTTTGCCTCCAGCAACGCAGGCTACAAGTTGCATGACTTTGTACAAGTGAGCCAATCTTTTGCTCCTTGCAATGTGTTTCAATCCTGCAACAATTATAGTAGGCGGTAAATGCCGCAGACTATTGCTGTTTTCCAGATCTCATTCATGCAATATTACAACACTTTTAGCTAGCGGTTTGCACAGATTGACTGATTGATTATCAAACTGAGCCGGGGAAAAATAAACAGCACAAAAAGCAACAAAGCAACAAAACACCTATTGCTAAACAGAGATCTTGGTTGACCGATGAAAGCATCATTAGTGTATACCTACATATGATGTTCCGTTACTCGTGATTCTACATGCCCGTGGCGCTTCACATTCGCTACTTATGTCATCGTTTTTATTATCGTTCTCCAAGGTGATCAGCTGTAATAAGAACATCTGCACGCTGCAAATAACCGACACGACCGGAAGCCACCAGTTTCCGGCCATGCAGCGGCTCTCCATCTCCAAGGGCCACGCTTTTATCCTGGTGTACTCCATAACGTCCCGCCAGAGTTTGGACGAGATCAGGTCAGCAGTGCAGAGTTTGGACGAGATCAGGTCAGCAGTGCAGAGTTTGGGTGAGATCAGGTCAGGAGTGCAGAGTTGGGCGAGATCAGGTCAGGAGTGCAGAGTTTGGAAGAGATCAGGTCAGGAGTGCAGAGTTTGGACGAAATCAGGTCGGGAGTGCAGAGTTTGGACGAGATCAGGTCAGGAGTGCAGCCTGGGTGAGATCAGGTCAGGAGTGCATCCTGGACGATATCAGGCGCAGCCCATCAGTCGTTAGCATTTGATGTCAGCAAAGAAACGCGCTGTGGACAGCTGAACTGGTCCGCTCGTCGACTGCAGTTTTCAGCAGTTTAGCCAATGTTTTGTCATTCTGACTTCGTGTGATCCTCAGGGTCCGTGCATACAAAATATGTCTCCATTGTAAAGCCTCGTTCCGTATGCGTGTTTTAAGGGGTTTGGGCGGTAAGGTATTTGGAATTACTCCACCCGGTCTACAATAGGTCCCTGAGTAACATTGGCCTAGCTGTTGGAGCCCCACACGCTGCATGCCACAACCCCAGCTGGCTAAAAAGACGACTGGCACATAATCCAACACAGTGATTCGGTGGTGTTTGTACACAATTATCGATATGGCTGTGTTCCGCCCAGCGCGCTGACTAACACGTCCCCTCCTGGGGGCTATTGGACCCCGAAGGTCTTTCCAGAATAACCTGAGATGGGTGTAGCGCATCAGCGTCAAGCTTTGCATAGCTGCAGGTGGTTGGATTGCCAACACATTTGGTGTCGTAAGGTCGTTGACGTATGACAGATGAAAGTCAGATCAAGGGTATCAGCAAAGGCAATTCCCAGGGAATTATTTGATTTGATCCGAGCAGAGGAGCGTTAGGCGAACACATGCGTCTTTGAGCTGATTGCTTAAAAAATTAAAGAACTGAACTCAGGATTAAAACTAGCTCCTTTGCAGCCCTTGGGCAAGACATGGAGGTTGGATCGAGGTCAAAACGACATGGTTTTTTACCAGAAAACTTGCTTTGTGGGGTGGTTTATAAGGATTGCTTTAAATTTTTCCATCACAGAAGGGTCAACGTATGCATCTTCTTTGGAGCTGATCATGGTCAGATGAGTGCACCGACCTCAAAAACCCTAATCAACCCTTTGTCTAAGGAATCAGCCATATACGGCTTGACTCCTAAATCAATTTCAATGTTTTACCGGAAATAAACGCCAGTGAAATTTTGCGTAGAACGGCCATGAAGGGCAAAGGTGGTTTCATGAAGAGGTTTTACAGCACTTCAGACACCGGTTTTCATATCGGCCTTGTTTGCCCTAATTTTACATGGAGGCTGTGACCTAGGGACATCAAAACTTGATATACGTGCGTTCATTTACAAACTTATCTTCCTTGTGAATTTGAATTTATCTTCCTTCCTTCTTTGTCTCTAGCTCTCTCAATCTTGAGATATCCAGGAAGAGTACAAATTGACCCCCATATGAGCTCGTTGCATGCAACCGGCCACCCGGGCGCGTGTGAAGCCAATGTTACACATTGGTGTGGGGTATCGAATTGAAAAAAAGCCATCTTGAAGATCGTTCGGTGCAGTTCACAGCGCTGTCCTTCTTATGACCTAAGCCTTTCTAGTTTCTGAGCTAGACACCGGCGAAGACGTGCGAGCTATTTTGGTGAGGCTATTTCAAGATCACCCAGGCATTCATGATGCCATAATAACGTCATTAAGATCTGGTTATTCCATTAGTCATGAGGTGATCAAGGCCAATGCAAATATATTTGTCGAGGCGTTCATATCTGGAATTGCTGAGCACGTTTTCCAGATTTAACGGCAGCCAACTGGCTCTCAATCGATGCCTTACGAGAGACGATGACCAATTCAAGCAATACTGCATAGGAAAACATGTTTACTTAACAGAGGATTTGTGGTGTCTAGAGTGGTCTTTTTCACTTAAAAGTGTACCAGTAGGCATATATGAGCTTATCTCATTGTACATGTTGCTTGCTTTAATGTCTTCAAGCGTGAACTATTCACTTTACCCGGCAGACGCAACAACGCGTGACGTTGATGCTGCACCATCGCCCTCAGGATGGTGCAGCGTCATGCCGCCAGCTGACCGCACGGCTCATGGTTCATGCCGCCAGCTGACCGCACGGCTCATGGTTCATGCTGCCAGCTGACCGCACGGCTAGTGGCTCATGCTGCCAGCTGACCGTACGGCTCATGGTTCATACCGCCAGCTGACCGCACGGCTCATGGTTCACGCCGCCAGCTGACCGCACGGCTCGTGGTTCATGCTGCCAGCTGACCGCACGGCTCATGGTTCATGCCGCCAGCTGACCGCATGGATCATGGTTCATGCCGCCAGTTGACCGCACGGCTCATGGTTCATGCCGCCAGCTGACCGCACGGCTCCCCGTTCATGCTGCCAACTGACCGCACGGCTCATGGTTCATGCCGCCAGCTGACCGCACGGCTCATGGTTCATGCCGCCAGCTGATCGCACGGCTCATGGTTCATGCTGCCAGCTGACCGCACGGCTCATGGTTCATGCCGCCAGCTGACCGCACGGCTCATGGCTCATGCCGCCAGCTGACCGCAGGGCTCATGGTCTTGGTCACGTGTCTGCAGCTCGATCTTCAACGTCATCAGCGAAGTGAAGGGGGATCTGCAAGACATTCCCATCGTTCTGGTGGGCAACAAGTGTGACGAGAACGACAAACGGGAGGTGTCGCAAGCTGAGGGAGAGGCACAGGTGAGGAGGGAACGGGGAAAGCAGATACAATCGGGTGTCTGGCGAAATTGTGAGAAGTGCAGCCTCACAAAATAAGTTTAGATGAGTATTTTATGACATGCCCAAACTCCACTCTCACGAACGAACGAAACCTTAAGCAATCCATAAGCCCTGACGAACAAAAAACACGTTTCTCCACGAATTTGACCCACTTCATTCTCAAGGCGGACATTTTCCCCAACGGAACAGGGAACTCCATGCTGTTTTTATCAGCGGAATTCATTTTCATGAAACCTATAAAAGCGTCTGCAAGCGCGTGCGTCTGACCTTGTAATTCATCGTGCGAGGATGTATAAAACTGGTCTGCCCGCCGTGGCGGGAGCGTAGCTTCACAAAATGGGTTGAAGAGCTGAACAGTGAAAAATGACCCACAATACCCCCAAGATTTGCCAACAAACATGTTTCTCCTCAGATTTGACCCACTTTCTTCCCAGAGTTAGGGTAGAGCCCAAGTTAGGAGGAGGGCTGAGCCCCCCCCCCCCCCCCGCACTGAAAAGGAGACTACACCCGTGCACCGTTGTGTTTATTGGTCTCTGGCGTCGCGTCACTGAACGCAAGAAGACGACAGCTGCGTCACTGCCCATCTGTGTGGCCAGCGCTGGCAGCTAACATGAAGGCGTATCTCTCCTCAGGCGAAGGCGTGCCGCTGCGCTTTCCTCGAGACATCGGCGAAGAACAACGTCAACGTAAGCCAGTTGTTCCAGGAGCTGCTGAGTCTGGACAAGAGTCGGACGATGACGGTGCACCTGGATCCGCGGGGTCGCTCTGCCATGGGATCCCTGAGGCTTAAGGAGAAGTGTCAGATGATGTAGCGCCAGCGCCGCCGCAGTCCGGTCACCTGACCCGCACTGTACAAAGACAGCTCTCTCGGCACCCTCTCTCGACTGTGCTCTGCCACGCTGGGCGGCGTTGAGAGCTGCACTTCTCTGAGCACGGTCAGCCCCCCCCCCCCCCCGACGGGCTGTTGGTGCGCCGGGAAGCTGAAGCGGAGCAGCGTATCAGCGTCACCAAACCCATCTCCGCCAGGATCACTTATACCACCGTGTCCGCGGCGTCTCAACGTGGAGCATACATATACCGCCCTCTGTATTCTCACCCGCGGCGCCTCTGCCGCGGTGCGGCCCGTCAGCTGGTCAGCCCGTCCGTCAGCTGTCTTTGGCTCGACCCGTCAGCTGATCAGCCTGTCCGTCAGCTGTCTTTGGCTCGGCCCGTCAGCTGATCGGCCTGCCCGTCCGCTGAACAGTCCGTCAACTGATCAGCCAGTGTCTCCTGGCCGCGGATGGGTCTAATGCTGGCGTTAGAGAGCAAAGCAATAGCTGAGGCGGTGTTCTCAAACACACGATACTACCACAGCACTTCCAAGCTCAGCATTGAACCTGCTAGCGATACTGACTAGCCAGCCATAACGTCTATGACATGAGACGGCTGGGGAAAATGTACCGCGTAACAGAGCATAAAGCGGAAGAGGCGAATGCGTGGGTGGGGGTGGAGGGGAGGGGGCGAGGGCAGCTTGCAGAAGCTAGTCCAGAGCTGGTCTCCAGGGGTGCGCCCATGGACACGGCAGTGCGTCCCGGCTCTTGTTGGTGCACTGGCGGAGGGAGTAGTCTGTCTCGTCCCGTGTCGTCCACTGTGGTTTCTCATGCCCAGCGCCGCCGGCTGTGTTAGGACGGTGCCATGGCGTCGCCGCTGGCGGACGTTTTGCCAGCAGTCATGCTGAGATGGCAGCGAAGTGAATCCGCGAGATGTCCTCATCGGTGGTGTGTATTACACGTGGATATATTCTTCACTCTGCTTGCGATTCGATTTGCTTCACTGCAGTCGGGCACAAGACATTCCGTGCGTGCCATTAAGCCAGCTCGTACCATATGCCTAAACCTCCGACTGGGACGGCTGTTGAAGTCGATGTGCAAGGTATTGAGGAGCATTTCCATTCTAAGAATCAGCTGAACATCGAAGGAAATATGCGGATCATTTTAAGCTTTCGTTGAAGCTCGCCGCGAACGGGAACGGCCATGATGGCAGGTTGTTGACAGTGTGAACTGTTTATTGAAGGATACTTTTACCTTGGAAGGTTGTGTGTAGCGAGAAAATTTGATGGTGGAAATTCTGAAGTGTGCTGCCAAATCATAGCCGAATGCGCAAGCAGTGCCACAAGCACGAGACCAATCAAAACAACAATGATCCAGACCACTGGCCAACGTGGTTGCAAGATTTCCAAAAAATTGTGCGCATATCCCTCTAAACAGAAGGAGCACGCCAACGACGCCCTGACATATTGATAGAATGAATTTGGGTTCCCTACACATACGAGGTTGACGATTTCATAATGCTTCACGCATGCCGACAATCTGAAGATCTTATTTTCAACAATTCATCAGCGAGAGAGAGAGAGAGAGAGAGAGAGGAGAGAGAGAGATGAGAGAGAGAGAGAGAGAGAGAGAGAGAGCGAGAGAGAGGAGACGAGAGAGAGAGGAGAGAGAGGAGAGAGAGAGAGAGAGAGAGAGAGAGAGATATATATATATATATATATATATATATATATATATATATATCTATCTATCTATCTATCTATCTATCTATCTATCTATCTATCTATCTATCTATCTATCTATTTATGTGTGTGTACATATATGTATACAACAGCTCATCGCACAAGAGTCGAATAACGCACATGGGTCCCAGAAAACGCAGTCTAATTCAACGTCATGTGCACTGTCTAATGTCGCTGTCTAATGCAACGTCAACGCCCCTGGCATTAGTCACTTTGTGACCAATGCCAGGAGCGCCTACTTGTGTTGGGGGGGGGGGGGGAGGGAGCGACCTAAGGACCAAACATCCCTAGCTCTCCAAATATGTATTTCGCAACAGCCTTGGACCATTTTGCATTACCAAAAGCCATTTACTATTTGTATTCTTGCACCACTTTTCAAGTAGGTAAGAATCGATCTCAGCGATATAATGGTCATCCAAATAATGCCCAAAGAACGCTGACTTTGTGTAGAGGAGTGAAAAGTTAAAAAAAGTTATAACTCTCGTTGCAGGTGATCCGTACGTTGTACGCTAACAAAGTTATGTAAGTCAACTACGTCATCCGTTAAGTTGCTAAAGAGGCTACTGGAAGTATTCTGAAATATTTTGATGGAAGGGTTTAAGATTTTGCGGTTTCGAGATGCCAGCTCAGTCTGTGGCACATTGACTCCAGCGCTGTTTTACCAGTTGAGCTGGTGGAACGGTGGTCAGGCTTCAGAGGAATGTCAGCGCATTCATCAGCTGTGCAGGGTTATGAATGAAGACGGAACAGCATCATATACGCGTGGAGTGACACACACAACAGTGAGATATAATGTAATACACACAACAGTGAGAACAAACAACAAACCAACATGGTTGGCAAGCAAATGGCATGTCAGCACGTACTTTTTGGACAATTTTCAAATGACAGAAACTATGCTGCATTTGACGACGCCATCATGAAGCCTGGTTTGCACGTTTAGAAAAAAGACATCGTGAAGCGCGACGCATCTGTAAAGAGCACTGCTCATTCGTGCCGCACCGCAGCACAGACGCGTCCTCCTGGCCGCACCGCAGCACAGACGCGTCCTCCTGGCCGCACCGCAGCACAGACGCGTCCTCCTGGCCGCACCGCAGCACAGACGCGTCCTCCTGCCTCAGTTTGCTGCACGACACTTTCTCGTCGATGGCAGTCTGTGCCCAGCGAATGCATCATTCCAGCTGGTTGTCTGACGCAGCCTCCTAGTCGACTCTGGAACTTCCTGTTTAACTAAGCCGCGGCCCTAGCTGGGGCGGGCTTGAGAGGTTTTCTGCGGGTGCCAAGTCTTGCCTAAGACCCGGAGCGTCTCACCAATATAGTGTATGGCTTTCAGGTTCGGCAAAACACGCATCTACCATTGGGGTGTACTTCCGACGGATGAGCCCGTAATAGCACTGTTTGTACTTGTGGCGGCGCACCGCCTCGGTGAGATTTTCTGGGCTCGTGCATATTTCCGGCCGAGAGTGCCCTTTCGGGGACATAGCCACTTAAACGAGAAAAAACCCTGGCAGCTTCCCAGATAGCAACACTCTTGAGTTGCAGAGACGCCGCCGCCCGGCCTAGCGCGACAGTCTCGGCTGGAAAATATTTCCACTGAGAGTAAAATATGCACCCTTCGTCGTCCATGTCTCCTGCTCTCAACACCACGCACTTCATAGGGCGGACTGTACATGCGGAAACAAAAAATGCAGAGAAAGCGGTGTACGAAAATGTGAAGCAAACAAGTGCGGAGCAAAGAAATTCGATGCGGTGAATCAAACATACGAAGAAATGTGGTACGAAGGACTGCGATGCGATGAAATGCATATGTGAAGCAATGCAATACAAATAATTGCGCGTGCGCAGCTTCGAGGATATCGAGATTTCCGGACACGTAGTTGGGCGAATACGTCTATTTGCGTAAAAGTTTTGCAAGACAAATATTTGCACACGAATATTCGCGTAGGAAGGTATACACAAAAGGAAATGCGATTCGAAGATTTGCCAGTAAGAACCTGCGTACGACGAAATATGTCACGGATGAACGAACGATGCTCTGCCCGGAAACGTGGTTGACCTGATTGGGCAAAGTGGCCACCGTCGTGTTCCTTAGGTCTACGAGCATCGGTTGTCGTATGTACTGTGTCGCTATGTTAGTTAGAGGCCAGGTAGCGAGGGAATCCCTTCCACCCTCTTCCGTTTAGCCATTGGGAGGCATTCTGTGTGGGTTGGGTATATTTCCCCAAATTAATACACAGCCTTCCACGTGGACCCAAGTCCTTGGCAACGATAGTTACACTTTGCTATCCTCCCCCCCCCCCCCCTCTCCTCTCCCCGTTGTATTTTGGGCCATCCATAACTTACGCTGAGTATGGATGGATGGGGAGAAAGAGTGTCGGAAACTGGATGGAGCGCAACGGAAGCGTAACACGCGAGGGAGTGGATGATTGGGATAGCGTATTGTTGCACTCAGATGTGCATGCCTCTCATGCCAAATTTTTTTTACCGAAGGCCTAACAGCCGAGCCAAGGCAAAACCCTTGCTGAGCCCGCCCTCACTGTTTGAGACGCTCCTACGCCTACGGCCAAGCACGATCATGGGAGGAAATTTCCCTAACAAAAACTTCGGCTTCCGGTAGGATTTTATGTCAGAAACATTGTTTGCCCAGCCCACTGGAACCTTCCACCAAATTGAATATTTCAGGAATGAACGGGTGCGCTTGGCACGTGCATTGTAAGCAGCATCGTGAGCGTGATAGTCGTTTCATAAGATAAGCGTGTGTGTATGGGAGGAGGGGGGGGGGGGGGCAAATGGAACAGTGCAGGGAAAATGTCCCAACGCACTAACAAAATTCGCCACGGAAGGAGCTGCTCCTGGCATTTGATCGTCTGTATTGCCAAAGCTGGGGAGCTGAAGCTGCTGTCCTTATCATTAAAACGTCCGCAAAGATCTCACGATCAGGGGAGCTCCCAAATGAACTGAAAGCTCCCGTGGTCGTGAGGTCTTTGCGGACGCTTACATGATAGAAACAACATGTCTGAGAGCGCCTATGGATTTGTTAGCGAGGGAATTCGGCCAGTGGGTTCTGTGAGCAAGGCATCCGTCCGGCATTGTGGGCCGGAATGCCGCGGTCGACGGTCAAACCAACTCGGCGACCCGTGCGGCGACCAACGACTTTGGACTGGACGTGCTCACTCGCGACACGCACTTGGGTGACGTCACCACGGCTGAGCAGCTGCGTCTTATTCATTGGGTCCGGTGGGTAGTCAATGAAAATGCGATTGTTTTCGAGTTTAGAAACGCCGGTAAAATAATACCCTCTCTCATGGGCTGACGGCGTGCGATTTCTTCATCTGGTGTGAATCTGGTGATCGGGGTTCACCACGGCTGTTACCCGCACGCATAACTACAGAAAGCTACAGCATACGTCGCACCGTTAACACCAGGACTTTTAAGAGCAGGGAGAATCAAGACCTTTTTGGGTGTCGAACATGTAGTCCTATTTCTTTTTGCCAAACCATTCTTGGCGTCATGTTGTGTTCAGCTGCAGGGGCGGATCCAAAGGATGGGAGAGAGCACGTCACCATGGCCCCCCTTGGGCCCCGAAGGGACCCATTGGTTCCAAGGAGGCCATAGCCGGTCGAACAGGTACAGTTTTTCAACAACGAAAAGCCGCAACAGAATCGAACATCTCTGGATTTCCAGGCGACCAAGAATAGTTGCAAGCGAAAGTGAAGGACCCACGAGAAGTAAAATAATTATTCAGTGATTGCAAGAGTTGTGAATTGGGAGTTCTAAGCCTCATTACACTGTCTAGGCGCCCTATACTGTTTCTGGGGAGCCCATATGCCCACTCGCAGGGTCGTTCCGATCGTCAGGGAGCCTCCCATGTTGCCCTTGACTTGTCGGAGTGCTTTCGGTCGCTCAGGGGCTCTTTACTTGTGTCCCGATTAACGTACTGACACACTCGCGATGTGCTCATGGGCCTCCTACATTGGTCTAGGGCGCTTCCAATTCCCTGCCACTTGCTTAGGGCCCTACGCTCTTGTCGGGGGCCCATCTGATAGCATGCTTGGGCACACTCGGTCGTTCGGGAACCTTCCACACTGGGTCTTGGAACTTTTTATCTGAATGGGGGGACCTACGCTTTTTTTGGGGGGGGGTCTATCTGATAACCTGCTCGGGCACATTCGACCATTCGGGGCCGTTCTTCATTTGGTCTTGGGCACGTCTTATTTCAATGGAAGTCCTACGCACTTGTCGCCCCCCCCCCCCCTCTGTTCGCTTCCCCGGCCATAACTACAGAAATACAGGGTTATTCTGGGGGCCCTGCGCCTCGGATCTTGGTGTTTGAATTTAGAACCCTGCACTCCTATCGGGGTCACCTGATAACCTACTCACGTACACTCCATCTTTCAGGGGCCCCCCACACTACATTTTGGGTAGTTCTTATTTGAATGGAAGGCCTTGCACTTTTGTCAGGCTCCCTTCTGATAAGACGCTCGGGCCCATTCGATCGTTGGGGGACCTCTTCATCTGGTTTTTTATTTGAATGGAGGTCCTTCTGCTCGTTTTGGGGCCCTATCTGTTACCCTGCTCTGGCGCACTCGACTATTCGGGGCCCTCTTTAGCATGCC